AAAGTATTTGTTATTTTACAGTTTCCTCCACTGGCATAAAAGAAACTAAGATTCTGTAACTATGTCACACCAGCAAGGCTAGACAGGTCTCACAGCTTGTAGAACTTTTTCTTTTTTGTTGTTGTTGTGATAGAGTCTCGCTCTGTTGCCCGGGTAGAGTGCAGTGGCATCATCGTAGCTCACTGCAACCTCAAACTCCTGAGGTCAAATGATCCTCTTGTCTCAGCCTCCCGAGTAGCTGGGACTACAGGCATACCACAAAACTTGGCTCACTTTTCTATTTTTAGTAGAGACAGGATCTCACTCTTGCTCAGGCTGGTCTCAAAGTCCTGAGCTCAGGCAATCCTCCCACCTCAGCCTCCCAGAGTGCTAGGATTACAAACATTAGCCACCACGCCCAGCCAAAATTTTAAAAGTAGGCTAAGAGAACATTAAAAATTAATAAGACAAATAAAAGGGTTTAAATCCAGAACTATTTTTAGGATGGGGATTATACACTGATAGAATATGTAGGAAAATAGATAAATTATGAGTATAACATCTTCCACAACAGGAATACTCACTGTATTTATTGTCATTCGAGCTTCGAAATTATCCACACAGCTAAGAACTAGATCAACAGGTTTTCCTTCTTCTAACCCACCGTTACTAGTCAAAGAAAATAAATTTTATTTGAAAAGGACACAAAATACATTCTAATACATTAGACTTTATTTGTTCTATCACACTTATTCTTTAATTAAATGTTTGAGTATAATTATAACATAGTAGGTATTTACTATTAAAGATCCCATATATATCAAGTATTGAGTAACTACTATGAATATAACATTAATGATACAGTGGTAGTACTTTTATAAGAAATAACAAGGGTGAAGGAAGTATAAAATCTGTTCACAACAGCTACGTTTTCCTTATCAGCTTTTACAGAATTTTATTCATGCTTCACTACAAATGTAAATGTAATAAAAGCTAATTGAATGCAATTCATTATTACGGTGGTGTTCTGACAATCTATCTGTTTTCAGATAGAAATATAATCTAGAACACAAAACTTAAAATTGAGGATCCCTGGTTACATTGTTATAGGTTACAGGGGTTTTTTGCTTGTTTGCTTTTTACTTTTGTATTGTTGTTTTTGGACAATATATACCATTATATACTTTTCACTGAGTGTCTAATACATAAAAATTACACACAAAAAATTACTATTTTTTTTGGTTGTTCTTTTGTTTTTTGAGATAAAGTCTAGCTTTGTTGCCCAGGCATGAGGGCAGGGGCATCATCATAGCTCACAGCAACCTCAAACTCCTGGGCTCAAGCGATCCTCCTGCCTCAACCTCCTGAGTAGCTGGGACTACAGGCATGTGCCACCATGCCCCATTAATTTTTTCTATTTTTTGTAGAGACAGGGTCTTGCTGTGTTGTTCAGGCTAGCCTTAGAAGGCAGCTGTGCTCACCACTATACCACCAATGCAGGCTGGTCTTGAACTCCTGACTTCAAGTGATCCTCCTGCCTCAAGCTTCCAAAGTGCTAGAATTATAAGCGTGAGCCACCGCACCCATCCAAAAAATTACTATTTTTAAAAACAGAAAATATCTGCCAACTCATTGAATTAATCATTAGACTTTTCCAATACATTTTCAAATCTA